TAGGCATGGCAGCACAGGTGTCACCCAGTTACTATGAGGCTGAGGCAGGAGGACTGCAAGTTGGAGGCCAGTCTGAACAACTTAGTGAAAAGGTCTCAAAATAAAAATTTATAAACAGCAGAGGGATGTAACTCAGTGCCACAGACGTGCCTATGCTAGGAGGCCACGGTCAACCCCCAACTGCAAGAAAACGAGGCAGGGCCAACCGGGAAAGCTCCACGGTCTACAGTCACCGCCAAGAAACTTGACACACGACTGCACTCAAGCTGAGCTGTCCCTCCTCTGTGCATCTTATCCTCTGCCTGAAGAACACGTCCACATCTACCTCACTCCATCCACCGTGCAGACAGGACAGCCAGCGGCCTGCCCAAGGCCGTTCCCAGCCAGTGCAGAGGGCAGAAGGGCAGACAGGCATGCATCCAGGCTGGGGACAGACAGCTGGAGCTCCAGGGAACTTCTCAGGGTCGAGGGAGCCGTGGGGTGGGTAAAGGCAATGTATCTTCTGGAGCCTCAACAGTACCAGAGCAGGGAGTGGTGGTGCATGCTGGTGACCCCAGCACTTGGAAGGTGGGGGCAGGAGGATCACCAGAGTTTGAGTCCAGCTTGGCCTATGCAGCCAGTTCAAGGCTAGCCTGAAGTATGTAGCGAGATCCTGTCTCAAAACAAAAATTAAAAAAACAGTACCAGAAACTATACAAACTGAGTTTATATTAAAACAGTCAAAACACATTACTTACCACAAGGTAAAATTCACAGTAAATTCTGAGGTAAAATGTAAAGGGCTCGTTCCCACTCCCTCAGAATAAAGCCCGACACCAAAAGCCTTTGAAGCCTGTACACTTACTTAATAAGAAAGTTTCAAACAACAGGCCACATGATTCCCAAAACAGGGTATTTAATTTCCAGTATGAAGCTCTGACTTTCAGGCATCAATAGGCAAATGGGGCTGAGAGATCGGCTTCTCAGCCTTTCAGCTTTGGGTCAGGTGTAAAATGAGGCTCCCTTAAATGCAAGACCCCTGACGTGTCACCACAAGGGCAGGGTAGTGTCCCTCCGCAAATGCTCACATGAGGCTCTCCAGGCCACCTGGCTCCAGGATCAGGAACGCATACGAGGTGGCCCAGGAAGGGAGGCCAGGCTGGCCTGCAGGCTTCCAGAGGGCGGCACGGAGCTCCCCGAACACTTCATCCAAGTGTCCCCACCTCGGGCCAGGCATGTGGCTCCGTGGGAGAGCACTGGACAATACACGCCAGGCCCTGGTCCTGGGCTCATACCAGAGGATGAAGACACCCAGGGGCCCTGCTTTACCACGAGGGCAGCGCTCCTGGACCCTAAACAGTCCACTCTCCCACTGGGTCTGCCATGGCCATGCTTCTTCAACCCAAGTTTCAAGTTTCTAATAAATATGCGTTGGTGGTCACCACAGAATCCTGGTTTCGACTACAAAGACAATCAGGACATCACATCCTGACGGCTCGGTGGAACAGCCCTGTGAGACACCATCCGTCATGTGGCCTCTACTTAACTTTTGTCTTAATGCTTCAATCAGCATGGCACAAACCCTAGAGAGAAAAGTAAATCATGAAAGGAAATGTGGGGATTCGGGATGGTTCAAAAGGGAGAGGGAGGAGCAGCTCGGAGAAGAGGCTAGGTAACTCACCACCACCCGGACAGGTCCACTGCGCCTCTCCCTGCAGGTCACCAGAGCTCCTGGTCACAGGGGGCAGCACGGGAAATGCCACATGCAGACAGGGACAATGAACTGTCTAGGGCCATTGCTCACGCCACAGGGAGCGCCCCTCTCCCAGCCACTCCCAGACCCTACCCAAGGCTCCAAGGGTCCCAGTGCCAAACTGCTGACTCCAGGCCGGGCTCGAAGCCGCCCCAGAGGCCCACCCTCACTGCCCCAGCAGCCTGGGCTTCCTTCTCTCTTTCGGTGAATTTCCCCCACACTTCCAGTCTTCTACACCAGCGCTCACTCGAGTCCTCCTACACGTCATGCCTTTCTAGTTTCTTTCCGGTGGGTCTCGATTCTCACCAAACCTTTGCTCAGCTCCCTGAGGGCAGGACAGTGAGTCCTCCTGTTTCTTCACCCTTTCTGCACCAGAGCTTGTCCCAAAGGCTCAGCCAGGTGCCTGCTGGCCTCTTGGGTCTCCCCTCACTCTGCACAGGAGCCCTGCTACCCAACTTCACACCCTGGGAGGAGGCACAGCACAGTAGCTACAAGACTACAGAAATGAAGGGCATATTCTTTTTTTTTTTTTTTTTTTTGAGACAGTATCCCTCAGGGCCAGGAATTTAGCTCAGCAGTATAGGCGCTTGCGTCTGCCTGGTGAGCACAAGATCGTGAGTTTGATCCCTGGTACCAAAAGAAAAGAAAAAGAGACAGTGCCTCACTATGTACTATAAGCTGGCTCGAACTATGTACCACAGGCTGCTTCAAACTCAAAGCAATCCTGCCTTAGCCTACCCAATGCTGGGATGACAGGCCTGTGCCACACATCCAGCTGGGACATATTAACTGAGCAATTAAAGGAACGAAAAGCTCCCTGAGTCACAATTATTTCAAGGAACACAACACAGAAAGAATCTGACCTTCTGGAGCAGACAGATGTCTCCTGCCACCTGCACCTCTGACACCCAATACCTGCCAGCCAACCATGCCTCGCCCGCAGGGACTAAGAAATTTCACCAAAACAAGATTTTCCACTCCATGACAGAAGCCTCCCCTTCCCCTTTCCAGGTAGACCTGCAACCCCTGTCCTATCCTGGAATAAACAGTGGGCACGAATGAGGTAAAAAGGCCTTTCTACAATGAAAAAGCCATTTCACAGTTTTTATTAATTATAAACAACAGAAATCACACAAACACATGTAACATCTTCTTACGTTTTTTCGTCTCCTATTTGAAAGTGAGCTGGCTTCTCTATTAGCTCCTTGGGAACCCCCACCGACCGCTCCCCACCTCCCCATGTGCTCTCAGCCCCAGACCCCCAGGGCCCCTCTCTCAGGCTCCAGTCTAAGCATCACCCAATCTCCGGCCACGACCACCTCTCCCTGGTCATCTTGTAAATGCTCAGCACACTTCTCTTTGTAGCTCCCTCCCAGTTCTCTGCATCTGCAGGCAGTCACTATCACCACACACAAACACACACACACACACACAGGTGCAGACACACTCCAAAGACACCAAATAATTCTGCTTCCTTTCTGAACACTTGCAAAGAAGCCCGAGAGGAGTCCAGATCCCACAGAGTCACCCCAGAGGCCTTGGCCTTGAGACTTCCCCTGAAATTGCCCATTGAGAGGAAATCTGGCTATTGCATAATATTTGATAGGTTAGAGCCCTGGCAGCTCAGTCTCACTCTACCAGAGGAGAACACAGAGGGGCAAGTGTCATGCAATTTCCTTTGTGTGCCTCAGCCACCTCAGGCTTGCAACACCACTGGGACAGTCTCATCCTTGAAGTGCAGCCTCAGCATCACCAGAAAGGATTTTAAGAGAATGATCAATCATTCTTATCCTGCAGCTCATTAGCATATCTCTCCTGCCAACACCCCAGGAAGTCGTCCTCAGTTTGCACACTGAGAAATGTAAGGGATTCTAGTAGGGGTATTTAGAGAAACCCCAAACCGGGTTCAGACAGTTCAGTTAAATAAAGGACTTCTTCCAGGCACGGCCAGGACAGGGGAGATTTCGATGGCTTTACTGAAACCACTGGCTGCTGTGACCGCCTGCTGTCAGCAGAATGTCTTCACGGCTCTCCTCCTCACAGTGAGGCCATCTTATTAATTCCAAAGAGAATGGGTAACATCCAGGAAAAATAACTGGTCTTCCTTCTCTATACAGAAAAATTCACATCTTAAAAACAAAAAATGCTGGCATTCTGGCCACCCAGCTCCTGCACTGTGACAGCTGGAGATGGCGCCGGGCAGAGACACCTCACATCATAAGCCCTGCCAGGGTCTGACTCTCACTCCGGCACTGGCAGGGGCTGTCAGGGTTTCCATCATGAGCACCTACTCACAGGATTTCCGACCTCCCATGATATTTTCCAGTTTTCACGTTGATAAGACTTATTCAGTGCGGGCCAAAGAATTTTCATTTTTAGACTAATTCTTATTATTTATAATACCACAGCATAGAGAGAAGAAGCTGCAACACTTCCTCTCATTTGAATAGAGGACGGCTGCGCTATATTTCGCCCGGCATGCTACATGTGATGCAGTCTTTTCAACAGGCCATTTGCAAAGACCTGAAGGCATGGGAAGATTTTAAGCCCAACGGAAGGTCCACCTGGGCATTTCTCCAGAGAAGGATTTTTACAGACATATGCAAGAGAACAGAGCGCAGCATCTCCAAAGGCTTCACCAGTGTGCATTCACAGAAAATGCTAGGAAAAAAATAATTATGGCTCCTGGGCAGTAGTATGCTGTGAATGTAAATTAAGAAGCTGCTGCCACGCTGCTCCACAAACCCTGATGACCGCACGGAAATAAATGGAGATAACAGCGTGTCCATAAACACACACACTCGCACGCACGCACGCACATGCACACATCGGAGGTCTCATACTGAAAACGGATTCCGAGCTCGATGCAAAATGTGAACGCAGCGGTCCTACTCGGGCCAGCGCAGCCTGCTGGCATTCAGAGCACGTCCCCGGCCCATCCTCCCGCGGGCGGCCGCTTCCACCCGAGACCGGGGAGGATCCGCACCCAGGCCGTCCAGGCACGCGTGGCCCGGCTCTGCGGCGCGCTGCGGGCCCCATCCGCAGCGATGACTCAGGGCGAACTTTTTTCCCCTGGCCGGCGCCCGCGGCCACGCAGCCCCGGCCTGACCGCACGAGGCCCCGCTTCCCGGAACCCGGCCTCTGCCGCAAAGTTTACAAAGTTGCGGCGCCGGGCGCGGGCCGGGATGGAGCCCGGGCCCGGACGCAGCCGCCCGCCGCGCCGCCCGCCCGCCCGAGCCGCCCGCGCCGCCCGCGCCGCCCGCCTTACCCCGCTCCGCGCCGCGCGGCCGCTCAGGGGCGCCGGGCGCGTCCTCCGCCGCCGTCCGCAGCGTCCCGCTCCCCGGGCGGCCCCATGGCGGGGGCGGGGAAGCGGCGGCCGCCGCCGCGCCGGCTGGAAAGTCCCTGCTGCTGCGCCCGGCTCGCGCACGCGGCGGCCGCCGGCCGCGCCGCCTCACGCACCCCGCGCCGGCGCCTCCTCCGCGCGCTGGAAATCCCCGCCGCGCGCGCGCCCGCCCCGCCCCCGCCGCCGCCGCGCGCGCGCCGTCAGCCGCCTGCCGCCGTCACCAAGGGCCCGCGCGCGCTCGCCTAGCAACACGCCCCGCCCCTGCCGCGCGCGCCCGCCTTTCCGGGTCAGGGCGCCCTCGGCCGCGTGGGTTCGAGGTCCAGGCTCCCCGCGCCCCCGCCGCCCCTCCCACGGGCCCGCGGGCACACGCGTTCTCCCGCGCCCGCGGAGAGCCACGTCGCTGCCTGGTGCCACAGGCGCCTAGGCGCACCGCGCGCGCACGGACACACTCGCAGGGGCCGGTACGGGCTCGCATCGACCCCACTGCATCCTTAGGGGGCCCAGTTCTGGCCTGTGCTCAGCTTGGAAGTACACGAGCCCCGAGACACACTGGCCAGCCCGCGTGTCTTGCACACGCACAATCCCGCTCACAGAGCACGCTCTCCCACACGCACACGCACACTCCCGCGTATACATGTTCTCTCACACACACACATCTCGTAACACATACACTCACCTGCACACACACTCCATTTCACACGCACGCTCCAGGGCAGGCACACTCCTGCACATACATACTACTGCGCACACTCGCACTGCCCACAACACTCTCCCATGCACACTGGCACTCCCTGAACAACCTCATGCTGTCCCACAAACACGCGGTCTTCCACGCATGCACACTCCACGCACACATGCACTATCTTCACACGCTTGCTCTCAATGCACAATCCTTGCACACATGCGTGTTCTCCAGTGCACATGCACTCTGCTTGCATTTGTAGCGAGCCTGGGCTGCCTGCCCTTCTGTGGGGCAAGTGTGTGGCTTTCAGGAGATTCCCCTGGGAAGCTGGGTCTCCTCGCCACCACTCGGAGGGTGGCCAAATTTGCCACCCTAGTCCTCTGCAGCACAGATCAGGGGTCCTGTTTCCCCGGGGACCTGGTCTCCTGCCCCACGTCTTGGAAGAGCCGCCAAGCTCCAAAACCCAGCCCCGCGGGAGAGCCAGCGCCAGCAGGCAGGGGACTGCTCAATTGATCGGAGTTCCTGCAGGCTCGGCTCCTGAGGCCCCTAGGCCGGAGCTGAGACCAGCGTGACCAGCTCGAGCCAGTCACTGGTGCTCCTCCAGTGACTCATGTGAGCGCGGAGGCAGGAAGTCCAGCATCTCCCCGTGGAATGTTCCAGAGCCCCAGACTACAGGCCCCCACGTCTCAGGCTGCAGGAGCCCAACAGGTGCTCCTTTGCAGCCACGGGGGTGGGGGTGGGGGTGGGGGTGGAGGGCTCCCTTGCCAGGCACAGCCGGGCCAGTAGCGCCCCCATCTGGGCCACAAGCGTGGAGCTCCCCGATGTGTCCCAGAGAGACGCTCGGTTCCTGCCTGCGGCCAGCGGGTCAGCGGGCCAGCCTCGGCATCCCGCCCACGGCCGTGGGCTCTGAGGTGAACCGCAGATGGGGTCCCTACCCCTCCTGAGCAGGTGTTCCTACCTGTAGGAGTTGGACTGACCCTGACCCCGAAAACTCAGGGCCCCAGCGCTCCCACCCCCCCACCCCCACCCCCACCCCCGCCCAGCCAGGTGCCCACCCCCACCTACCACCTTGCACCGTGTCACAGAGAACCGCTTTAAGATTGTCGAAGCCAGCAAAGGCTACCTTCTCCTTGAGGATCGCTTTTGTTCTTTTTAAAAGAAGCCAAAAGCCAGGGGGTTCAGAGACCCATCCATCAGCAGGGGCTCCTTTCATCCCACCCCGAAGCGCTAGGGAGCCGCTGAGCCTGCAGGTCCGGCTGCACGGGCGCCTGAGCCCTCTGCTGGGAGACCTGCTCCTGCACTCCAATCTTCCACCCCATCCTCCTTCTCTTTCCCCATTTTGTGAACCCTTCTAGAGCCCACCCTCCCCCAACACACACCCCAAGAACTGACGGGAGGCAGCGCAAAGTTTGCCCCAGACCGCGCCAGGGCTTCTGGGGCTGGTGCTGTAGCCACTGCAGTGGCTGCGGGGCAGCAGTGACAGGCGGCAAGAGCAGCCAATCACAGCGCTCTCCTCCCTGCATTGCAAAGGCAGAGCTTACACGTTCCCTATGGCAACGCCAACAACAAGCCTCACCATTTCTGGACAAAGACATTTCTCACCCGAGTTTATGTAGCGTGACATGTTCTTTTCTGCTGCATTTCGAGATGTGCATGGGGACATTAGAGTGACTCTCTTAAGCAACACAGCTGGAAAGCCAATCCTGCTTTCTAGAAGAAGAGTTTGTACTGGACCGTGTTAGGGGCTTCAGGGCTGTGCATGGCTTTATCAGGCCTCTGCCTGAATCTGCTGACCAGGACCACGAGTGATAGCTTCAAGTGTAAAAACCCAGCCTTGAGGGTCTAATGTGAGCTGCAGGTTACCGACCTCTTCTTTGTCACTGAAGCATATCAGGTGCCACCTAAAGAGGAACCTTGGCAAAGTCCCAGGGGTAGCAACTGTCCACTGGAGCCTTTCAATGTTTTTGATTACATTCTACACACACACACACACACACACACACACTCTCTCTCTCTCTCTCTCTCTCTCTCTCTCTCTCTCTCTCTCTATCCCCACTCTTTCCCAGTCTGTGGCTTTCCCAAGACCTCACAGGTGACCACGGGTCTGGGGAGACGCCAGCTTCCCACTGACAGCTTTGATGGGAACCAACAGCCCATCTGACCTTTGCCACTCTCTGGACATCACTCCAATCCCACCATGCACCTGGGAAACAGGGATCTCACGGAGTCTCTGAGCCCCACCCAGCAAAACTCATGAAAGCTGCTGTGAACATTTCCTGCCTTCCTGGGCTTCAGAGGCTACACTCCCATCTCTCCTTCCCCCCAGGGCTCATTGCTCTCCGAGTTTCCCCCAAGTCATTCAGCCCCAGACCGTCCCACCACCATGTACTCCACACGCAAAAGCCTATGCCTGGCAGAGATGTCCCTGCGAAGCCCAGCTTCCTACCCCGAAGCACCGAGGCTGCTGACATCATTGCTCCTCGAATGTTAGGGATGAGGAGGAAGACCATACTGGGGCCACCAGAGGTCTCAGGTTGAGGGGATTCAGGCTGCAAAGTGTCCTTGTAACTCACTGACAGCACAGCTTGCTGTCTCTCTGTGAATAAAGGCAGCACAGCACCTCCCACCCTCAGGCCGAGGCCTACATGGCGTCTTGGGTGTCGCATGGTGCCCAGAGGAAGCTGTCCCTCCACCTCCCATCTTCATCCTCACAAGGCTGAGTAAATGCCTGTCCTTCCTAAGTATCTTCTGGAGGGGGAGACAGAAAATAACCAGATCACAAGGGACTTTGTCATGAGTGCTCCAGAGAAAGAGACAAGAAAAGGGGACAGGAGACCTGGGGAAGAGGTGAGCAAAGGTGGCCCACAAAGTGGACCTGAAGGAAGCCATGAAGCTACCCCGGGGGGAGGGCAGGGAGATGGCCCTGAGGGGCAGGGATGGGGAAGAAGGAGCCAGAGAGACAGGGCCCTGCAGGTCACACATAGGACTTTGGTTTTCTTGTTTGTTTTTTTGAGACAGGATCCCCCCAGGCCTGCCTCAAACTTTTGTTTCTTTCTTTTTTTTTTTTTTCTTTTTTCTTTTTACCGGTACCAGGGATCGAACTCATGACTGCCTGCTTGCAAGGCAGGTACTTATGCTGCTGAGCTAAATCCCCAGCCCCAAACTTTTGTTTCTTGTTTTTTGTCTTTTTGAGAGAGGGTCTCACTATGCAGATCAGGCTGGCCTTGAGCTCACTCTGTAGCCTAGGCTGATCTCAAACTTGCAGCGATCCTCCTGCCTCAGCTTCCTGAGTGTTGGGATCACAGGCATGCCTCCACACCTGGCTAGGTTCTCTCTGAGATGGGCAGTTCTGTAGTTTGATTGATAGTGCGTAGCCTATGCTTGGTCTTCATGTTTCCCCAGCCAATAAGCACCCCCCGGGAGACTTCGGGACAGTGGGACCCTGTCTCTGGGAAACCCTGGGAGGAAGGAGAGAGCCAGGTGCAGGTTGGCGGTGTGCACAGATGTGAGCCAGCAGCTGAACTCACAAGCATCCTGAGCGTTGAAAGCAGTGCACCCTCCTGACCCAGTGACCCACATCTGGGGTGCCTGAAACCACCACCCAGCTCCCTGGGTACCCCACCTGTAAAGCACAGGAGAGGATGGGCCAGCCGCTTTTCTGCTGCTGTCAGGTACCCCTAAACCCCATGCTGGAGCTCAGCACCAGCCTGACCCACCTGGTAGCTGCAGGTTAGGTCCTTAGTTTCTACTGCAAATGCCCCAACATGAGTCCTGTCCTTAACGAAGTCCATCTCAGAGCCCAATAGAGCAGGGGACAAGGCCCCAGAGGGGCATCTGATAGCCCACAGCACCTGTCTTTGTGGCCCTACAGAGCAGCCTCAGGGTCCTGGCCCCAGGAAGGAATAAGGGCCGGATCACTGCTCTGCACCCCTGGCCTCGGGGAGCCTTGGGGACCTCAGCACGCCAGTATCTAAATATGCTGCTCCCTGTCCTGGTGCCAGGCAGAGTCAGCTGAGATTCTGGATGGAAGGCTGTTTTGGGGGCTTACCAGAGGCACTCCAGGGCCCCGCCCACACGGGGCCTATGCCTTACCCACTGCAGCCCCCCCATCCCATCCCCACCAAAGACCCTAAGATAACAAGGTGAGGAGCACCCTAGGAAAGGTAAAGCAGGAGGATTCTAGAGCAGGAATTGAAAAAAGCAGAAATCACCTCATGACTCACTGCGAGAACTCAGGAAGAATCGGCCTCCCCGCCGGGGTTCCCCTTCTGCAGGGCGGAAATGTGACTCCCGCCCCACCCTGCGGGGCTGCAGTCCTCAAGAGGAGGACCTGGCTGCTGCTACGGTGACACAGAGGGGAGGACAGCCGTGCCCCTCAGGGATGAGACGGTGCTTCGTCCTCAGGCACCCACGGGCCACTGCTGCCGGTA